GTGGAATAGATTTAAACTACAATCCTATGTCTACACAGTTCTGTGAAAAAAATATTTACCCCTTTCATATTTTCATTTCTGAATGTTTGTGTGCCTTTGCCATTGAACTTAATATAGATAGTTTTGCTAATGATATTAAAGAAATCTAACTAAACAGATAACATTAATATTTAGTGCTTTTTTCATTTATTTCATAAACATCTATTTAACAAGATGTAAACACCTTGAATTGCACCTGGAAGCAGATTGGCAGCCAGTGCAGCTCATGGAGCAGTGATGTTGTATGGGCTGTTCTTCGGATTCCAAGAACTTCCCCCGCCACCACAATCTGCACCAGCTGCAGCTTCTGAATGCTCTTCAAAGGTAGCCCCATGTAGAGTTCACTACAATAGTCCAGCTATGAGACTAGCGCCTGAATGGCTAAGCACAGTATAATTGCAAAATAAGTTGAAAAAGGTCATCTTAACGATTATCCGATTTTATCATAGTTGTATGTATTAAGTTCATACATACAATGTTTACTGGCGCAGTGTGAACTATTTTAAATAGGAACTTCAAGAGATTTTCATGCCCACACGAACATGCACTTTGAGAAAATCTTTGGAGAAACTGTTCCCCCGATCATACCCCTATCTGTTAAAATTGTACATTTGGAATAGAGAACAAATATAAACTAGGAAGCCCTTTGTAACACAGCAAAACTAAATCATCCTTGAGAAGTGGCTCTTCAGTTTTTCCTCAAAAATTAGCAGAGATGGAATACTCCAGTTTCCATAGATCAGTGGTGGGTTGCAGGCGGTACGCCCCGATACGGGCGTATCAGAGCCAGCCCGGAGCACCGGATAAGGTTCCAGTACGGTGCTCCGGAGGACCCACCTGCCCGCCCGAGCTCCTTACTGGTGTTTAAAGGCTTCTGCGGAGCAGCTGGAGAGTCACAGAGGCGCTAAGATGCATGCGCGTGTTGCGTGCGTCCATGAGGACGCCGCCGGCCCTGTTCCAACCGTACTGGTTGAAACGGGATTTGCAACCCACTATTGCCATAGATCCATCCCTTCCAATGTTTTACACACTGCTGACTATTGGGAAATATTGATTAAATATTTATCATTATTCTTTCTGTCAAATCCATCCATTCCAATTTATTTAATACCTATCCTAATATTGAAAATGTATAGTATCTTTATCTTAGTAACAACAAATGTGGCTGTATTAAAAATCATATTTAGTAAAACTTAAGTTTTTAATTAATTGGAAAGTACCTTTGAGAACTGTTTGTTCAGCTTCATTGTCTTTTTATATTTAAGACCTCTACTTTTTCTGTTTCCTAACTGAATTTCACATACAACATCTTGTGTATTTTAATTTTCAGATAGGTTTGTCATCATACCTTTGCATTCATTAATGCCTACTGTTAACCAGACTCAGGTATGTATAACTGGTGCTAACCATAATTTTATTAACTTTATGTGTAGTAGTAGTCTTCCCACATTGACTGTATCATCTGGCAACTCTTTTAAGTTACAACAATGTAAAAAATAATAGCTTTACAACCAGACCTTGCATTTATGACTGTTGCAGCATCTAACAGTCATGTAATCACCATTAGGGTGCTTTGCAACCTGGCATTTATTTATTTATCTCATTTCTACACTACTCTTTAAGTAACTCTGGATGATTTGTAGTAAGAAACATACCATAGTATAAAAGGAGAAATAAAAGCAGAGTTAAAACTAATGCAAAAACACCCTTAAAAATTGAGCTATTAAAGTTAAGGAGCAACTTCACATCACCAACCACCCGCAAGATTGCATATCCCTTTTATACTTCCCTGCCAACTGGCAAAGTCAGTTCTGACTTTGTGTCAGTCCCCATTTGTGTGCTTTGCAATTGGCTTGAAACAAACAGAGTTAATAGGGAAGACGGAAGTAGAATCATAAGTCATGGTTGGTTGTGTGATGTTTTGTTTAGCAACCATGGTGCTAAGCGATGAAGTTGCTGGTTCTAATTTTGGTCACTAAGTAGAAAATGTATGCATCTCTTAAAAATATCTTAAATTTGAATACAATATTTACATTTTCTTGAGCATTTTAAGTAATGTGGAAAAAAATCAGCATTTCTCCTACTCTGAAAAGATTAAGGACATAACTCAAAATGTAGACATCATAAATCTCACATATTATAGAATGATCTTATACTACCCAACTTTAGCAGTGTTACATATACTACACAAAGTCTTGTGGGATTGGGGTGGATTATAAATAGTGCAAAATAAGTAATATATCTCTTACGATAAAGAACATAATGCTTTAATTAGGGGAAGTTTTTCTACTTTCAAACACTTGTTTTTCAAGAGATTAAAAATTATTGGTTATAGTCAGGTTTTAACATAGCAAGAATAGATCCATTTGTCTGTGGCACTTGAGTATCTTAGAAGTAGTTCAAATCACACTGATTTGAGCAAATCTATTCTATATATAAGAAGTTTATCTTCAGCTTCCATATTGTATTTTTTTTTCCTTTTTGATTGCTAGTACTTGGTATTTAAATGATGTATATCAAGTGATATATTCATTTTTTTTAACTAAAGTGATTTAATGTTTAATAAATTTAATAAATAATACATTAAAAACCCTTATAATAAAAATAGATTTGATAATTTATTATCCTTGTGTCTTTTCCATGCTTTCCTTTAGGTATTCAAAAAGACCCCTCCTGGTGTTCGTAAAATTGTAATTGCTACAAACATTGCTGAGACTAGGTAAACATTAGTTTATGCTTCTAGAAATATATGAAATTAATTTATTAGCAAAAAATTGAGTAGTTTAATAAAAATTGAAGTTATTTCTTTGTATCACAGTAGGAATAAAATGGAGGGAAATATTTCTAAACATTTTCTCTGTTTTTTTTCATTATTATTCTATTTTGTTTAGATATTTTAAGGGATATACAAGAGATCTAGGCATATTCAGCATTTATAAATTGAATTGTATTCCTGAGTTTGGAGTTAGGGACAGTACCTACCATAATCTAATGAGAGAAACAACCTAGAACTAAGGAGAAATTTCCTGACAGTTAATTAATCATTGGAACAACTTGCCTCCAGAAGTTGTGAGTGCCCCAACACTGGATGTTTTTAAGAAAATATTGGATATCCATTTGTCTGAAATTGTATAGGGTTTCTTGTCTAAGCAGAGGGTTGGACTAGAAGACCTCCAAGGTCCCTTCCAACTCTGTTATTCTATACTATTCTAATTTTATTGAGTCAAGAATTGCAGAATTCTAAACCAGGATATAAGTATAAGTAAGTATAATCTTTATTGTCATTGTATTTAAATACAACGAAATACGGACTGTCTGTGCTGCGAAATTGTGGAAGGCATGAAATTGAGTAAGGCAGGCTAACAGAATAAATGCAAAGATGCTTTATTTCTTTTTATTTTTTTGGTTATGCCTCAGAAGGCACATCTGAAATTAAATGAATAGTACATTGCTATTTTACTTACACTGCTAAATTTCCACTGCCAGTCTTAGTTAAGGCAGATTTATTTGGCTTAAGGTACCTGTCCTACAATTATTTGATGCTCAGACTGGCAATTCTTATTGATGAAATGTAGCTAATTATATGTAGAATTAACACTATGTCAGAGTTAAGTATTATACATTAAGCAATTCCATTAAGTTTCTCCCAGTTATATCTGGCAATGTGGTTTAATTCTAATATTGCAGTGTAAATTTCATCATTTCACACTATAGTATTACCAGGATTGCTTTTTTTATATGACTTTTTGGCAAAGGAGAAAACAAGGCATTATAGATAAGCAAATTGCTTCTCATTTCTCTGTTTCTCATTTCTGCAGTATCACCATAGATGATGTAGTTTATGTTATAGATGGAGGGAAGATAAAAGAAACTCATTTTGACACACAGAATAATATCAGCACCATGGCTGCAGAATGGGTTAGCAAAGCAAATGCCAAGCAAAGAAAAGGGAGAGCAGGCAGGTAAGTGTAATACCTATTGTTATAAAATTTGTTCAGTAGCAAAATGTTGGCTCATTTGGAACATTTTCTAATTAACTTTAAAGACATTTCATTTTTCCCTTCATTGCAGATGCTTTCTTAATATTGAAGTCTTATTGCTTCCCTACTGAAATTTTATCTGCTGACTGGCTCTTCTAATTTAATACTTTTTTAATGAGTAGAAAAATCAAGGTAGTATAGCTGAGCCCCACTATATTTTATGGTAAATATATCAGGGATTTGGATAGAAGTTGCTTTATCAAATGCAACCCCTACTATCTTCATAGTTCACTTAGTCAGGTGCTTAAACTATGAAAATTGATACCTGAATTGTATGTATTAGTGGTTTTTAAAAAATGCTTTACCAATTATTAACATGATTATTTTCTCTGGTATTTAAACTTAGTTTAAATATTGTGTAAATTCAGTTTTTTTATTTTACTTCTTCTGTGATCTCTTGATACTGGTATTAAAAAAATGTAGTATGTAATATGAGTTACAATAAAAAATACAAATTCTAAATCTGAATGTATTTTAACCATTGTCTATCAAAAGTTGTTGGAAGCTTCAAAATAATTCTTCTTTTCCCTACAAATGTGTACAGATAATATGAGAGGTTGAATTCAGAGGGCCAGATTCTTTCTTCTTCACTAGATGTTGCATGTGTTTGTAAACTAATCACTTAGTGTGGATTTATCAGTAGTATTTTTTGTTTATCAATTTACTAACATTCTTTTAAAATGTACAGTTCATCATCAGTTGCATATAAATATTTGTAAATCCCAAATTCCAAGCATCTGAACAAAATCTATTAATACTCTCTATGAAGGGTTTTTCTGTGTGTCTCTATGTGTACCCATATTTACAATTGTCCCTGTAGTTTCCTGGCAAGATTTTCAGAAGTGGTTTGTCATTGCTTCCTTAGGGCTGAGAGAAAGTGATTGGCCCTAGGTCAGCCAGATGCCTTTGGGCCTAAGGCAGGATTGGAATGTCCAGTTTCTAGGCTAGTGCTTAACCATTATATCAAAATGGCTGTTTCTATAAGGCAGTGGTGTCAGACTCAAGTTGTCACATGACATATCATGACTTTTCCCCCCCTTTGCTAAACCGGAGATGGGCATGGCCAGCGTGTGACATATCTGGCCTGTAGGCCATTAGTTTGACACCCCTGATATAAAGTATAGGAGAAGTTCTTGGGTTTTAAAAACAAATCAACCCTCCATATTCTCCAAAGAGAATAACTAAGCTCCACTTACATTGGTGACAAGATTTTATCCCACACTATGTAGGATGTATGCACTATGTATCAGTGTTCCTAAAACTGGAAAAGAGTGGTATTTGGCCACAGGATTTTTCCTCAGCTCCTATAAGAGAGATAGTCTGCAAAGAAATTTTATAAATAAAATAAAAATGATAAAGTATAGGCCACTGACCATTTTTATAACTGCTTCTGAATGATATATTAGATGGCATGGATATTAAGTTTGATGTTTTCTTGTTGCAATTAGTTTAGATTATTCAGGTTGAATTTGAATGTAACACCATTCTGTAAAAAAGTGCTATACAAAGCATTATTACTACTGCTTTGGAAAAAGTACTTAATAGAATATATTTATACTTTTAGAGTTCAACCTGGGCAGTGCTACCACTTATATAATGGTCTTCGTGCCAGTCTGCTAGATGATTATCAGTTGCCTGAAATCCTGAGGACACCTTTGGAGGAACTGTGTTTGCAAATCAAGGTAATTTACACAATTGGGACAGTGATAATGTATTCTGGTGAAGGCTTGGTCTTGCTCTTTAGGAAACCGATTTTGATAAAAATGTTGAATTGGTCATTCAGTAACTTTTACTATAATTTACAATAATTCTGAATCTCTGGGTAACCTAATTCAAAGCTAGGATGCTAAAAGATTTTGGAGTAGAGAAATCAGAAACAAAAATAAGGAATAAAAAATAGCAAATTGACAGTACATTTTTAAAATAATCATTAATGACTAGATTGGCAGAAAAGTTTAAATGGACTTATTTTTTTGCTTTGAGGTAAAAAGATTAAATCTTGTGAGGATAATGTAGAATAAAATGATTGTACATTGGTTAATTTTGGCCTTTTATTTAATATTAATTTTAACTGTTAATATAATTGTGTTGGTATTCAGACTATTGATTTATATGCATATTGGCTGTCAAAAGTTTTTAAAATAAATCTTGAGTAGTAAGTATAAGTATGTACAGTTTGTTGTTAGCATGATTTCTAGTTCATTTCATAACACATATTTATTTGTTATATTTTTATCTCATTTTTTAAATTTTATTTAGTCTAAGGTGGCAAATACAAGTAGTCCTTGACTTATGACCACAATTGAACCCAAAATTTCTGTTGCTTATCAAGACAATTGCTAAGTGAGTTTTGCCCCATTTTATGACCTTTTTTGCAACAGTTGTTAAGTGAACAACTTTGCAGTTGAATTATGCAGCTGTTAAATGAATCTGGCTTCCCCTATTGACCTTGCTTGTTGGAATCTGCCTGGGAAGGTTACAATGGTGATCATATAACCCTGGGACAGTGAGACTGTCATAAATACCAAATTTTGATCGTGTGATCATGGGAATGTTGCAGCAGTCATAAGTGTAACAAACTGTCATAACTCACTTTTTTCAATGCCATTGTAACTTTGAACACTAAACAAATGGTCTACCAAGTCAAGGACTACCTGTATTCCTAATGTTCCTCCTGTCTATTTTTCTTACAACAATCCTTGTGAGGTGGGTGGGTCTGAAAGAGAATATTTAGTTACACAACTGGCTTCCATGTCTAAAAGAAAATTACAAAAGTCAATTTCCTGACTTCTAACTTACCTCCAGAAGTCAGATTGGCCTCCCTGGTAATACTTTTTGGTAGACTAACAATGGATGAATTCTTGAAAATTTCAGGAATGTGATTTTTCCCGCATCATCTTTTCATGCTCTATGTGGTATTGTTGGTTTTGAGTTCCATGAGCTTATTTGTGGTTTTGGAATCATTAGGGTTGTAAATTAGCTATGTTTGTTTAGTTTTCTTACAGGTGATGTTTTATTTTAATTGTTTTACTTTATCATTGACAGATATAATCATGCAGAATCATGGTTTTCTTTCAGATTTTGAAACTTGGAGGTATTGCAAATTTTTTGATGAAGCTCATGGATCCACCATCACATGATGCTGTAGTGCTCTCCATAAAGCATCTAAAGGAGTTGGTGAGTTTCTTTTTCTCTAGCTTGTATACAGATAGTCCTTGACTAACAAAAGTTTAATGTCCATTCAAAGTTATAACGGTGCTGAAAAATATGATTTATGATTGTTTTTTCACAGTTATAACCTTTGCAGCATTTCTATAGTTATGTGATCAAAATTCAGATACTTGGCAACTGGCTCATATTTATGACCATTGCTATGTCCCAAGGTCATGCAATCACCTTTTGCAACCTTCTGATAAGCAAATTCAATGGGAAAACCAAATTCATTTAACAGGTTACTAATTTATTAAGTGCAGCAATTCACCTAACAACTGTGGCAAGAAAGGTCGTAAAATGAGCAAAACTCACTTAACAAATGTCTCACTTAACAACAGAAATGTTGGGCTCAATTATGGTTGTAAATCGAGGACCACCTGTATTTGCCACCTTAGACTAAATAAAATTTAAAAAATGAGATAAAAATATAACAAATAAATAT